TGATGGCGTCTTTAGAAAGTACAGTCGTGCCTCGCTTAACGAGTGCACCGTATAGCGATGTTTCCGTATAGCGATCCCTTTTTCGGGATCGCTATACGGAAACATACCAGATCGTCGCAATGGGGAAAACCCGCATTGCGAAGATCGGGTATTGCGGCGGTTTTGGAGCCGCCGAACAGCGGTTCCAAAATGGCCACCAGAAGCCCGGAAATGGCTGCCGGCAGCCGTTTTCGCGCCCTGCCCTCGCTTAGTGAAGGCACGAAAATGGCTGCCGGCAATTGGAATCCTCGCTGAACGGGTAAGTAAGAAAGGTATTGGAACGCATTAAACTAAGTTTAATGCGTTTCAATACATTTCCCCTACCTGTTTAGCGACGATTTCGCATAGCGAGGGTTAATCCGGAACGGATTAACCTCGCTATGCGGGGCACCACTGTAGTTTGTCCACTTCCTGGTGAAGAACAGAAGAAGTAGTTCTGTTCCTGAAAAAGCCCATGCAAGGTGTAGAGTGAAATTCTATCACATAGCCTGTGGCAATTATGGTGAGAACCCAGGAGTCAGAGGTGATGGACCTCCAAGCTTCAAAAAATTGTGCCAATCTAACAAGGTTAGGCAATGGTGCTGGTGGCTCAGAGACATTAAAGAGGCTGTTTGGCCTTCTGCTCTTCTGGCGTGGTTGTTGATGCTGCCTTTGTTTGGTTGTTGCCTAGACTGACCTTGGTAAGCCGGCATTTGCGAGTGCTGGTGGTCAGAATATGGCCTGTAGGAGGAAGGCCGGCACCAAAAAAAGTGAAGACAAGACTGTGTCGAGAAGGACTGTGCGGGTTTACAGTGTTTAAGGAGATTTCCAAGATCTCATCTGTCTTGGTATCAAATAAGCCAGCCCTGTCAAAGGGAAGATCTTCAATTCAAGACTTGACATCTTTGGAAATGTTAGCCAATCGCGACCAGGCATGGACAACGCAGGGCAATAATAGTCGTAAGTTGTTTGGCTGTGGCATCAACCACATGCCTGGTCGCGATGCGTTCTTGGTGGGCTAATAAGATGGCTTCCAGATGGTGAGCAAGGCTGGATTATCAAAGTTCCTCCAGTGCAGCCTGTAATGCGGGAAGTAGCTCCAAAGGTGAGCATTGTAGGCCCCCATTGCCGCCATGTAACTGGCCACATGCAAAATGAAAGTTCTCAGGGAATATAGACGCCTACCAACCATATCCAGCTTATGACCCTCTTTATGAGTAGGGGTGAAAGATGACTTTTCCCAAGGCCGAGTTTGAGTGGCATCTACTATAAGAGAATTTGGAGCAGGGTGCTTAGCAAGAAAATCCATGTCAGCCCCATGAGTTTTATATAAGTTTTCCACTCTTCTTGGTATTTGGTGGAAGGTGGAAGGTTTATCCCAGGGTTCCCTAATAAGGCTGAAAAGCGATGGAATAAATCCAAGCCAGACCAGCGGGATGTGGTCTTTTGTAATGTCTGCATAAACTTTGTCCAGTTGTTCTACAGGTGTCTGCAGTACAGCAATGTCTAGCACCTGTGCTATCCTTGTGATAAGCTTAGAATATGCCGTGTAGTCCTCAGAAGGTGAAGGTGGGTGACTACCGGCAGTCTCCGAGGTTGGAGTAGGATTAAGTATAGGCGAGTCCTCCCTTATCTCACCCTCATCTTCACTGGAAGCCAAGTCCGGATCAAAAGTCTGTTCAGGGGACCTTAATAGTGCGAGGTCCTCCAAGAAGTCATCAACCCTTTCAGCTGAACGAGGAGCAGGAGACGGTAAGGCTGGTTGTGCTCCTGAACATTGTTGGGATCTAGTTATCAGCTCAGATGATGTCAGACCCAAGAGAGACTGAGGTTGATGCTGTTGAGGCTGAGGGTGCAGGTCTCAAAGTTGTGGTAACTCATAAGTCTGAGCCCTGTGATAATAATAGTCTGGAGGAGGATAAGAGTGGAGGTGGTGGGTAAGCATCAAAGTAAGGAGACCAATGCCTGTATGGGCTGTGAGGCATGGTATAATTGAGTCCTTTAAAACCACAGGGACATGGCTGGTGGAAGCGGCAAGGATCATCCCATGAAGAAGGTCCATAATCCCCCATTTGAGGCCTGTCAGGTTCAGGCTCAAAGTGATGGGTCTTTTGTTTCTTTTTACTGGGAGCATCAGTCGTTGAGCCCAAAGGGGTCTAGATGGAGCCAGAGGTTTGGGCTTGAGAATCAGTGAAGGTACTGGTGTCGGGGACCAACTGCAGCAAGGCAAGGAAGCTTCCTCTCGATGCAGGGGGAAAATATCTTCAGCCTTCAATGGAGAGGCCGCAGGTCCACACTGAGCCGAAGCTATCGACGTTGAAGGGGACAAAGGGAGAGAAGGCTGAGCTTTTTTGGATGCCTTCTTCTTTTTCTTCGACATCGAGCCCAAAGGAGACTTTGATGTCAAGGTCGAAGTGGTGGATTTCAAGCCCAAAGAAGTGGGCTTTAGGACCCAGTGGACATTGGGAGCAGGAGGAGCTGCACTTGGTGAAGTACCCAATGAGGGAACACACAATGGCTCAATTTTGCGAGCCAGTTCAAGAGACTGCTTCCACAAATGAGAGCAAAGCCTCTGCTGCCTCTGCTTCAAAGCTGGTTTTGTAAAAGCTTTGCAATGCAGATAAGAGGCAGGCTGGTGCTCTTCACTAAAGCAGAAGAGACAGAGAAAATGGCCGTCAGTAAGGGGAACCTTTGCGTTACAAGCGGTACAGTGCTTGAAAGGCCCCGGGAAGGCCATAAATTTCAAAACTCAGTTTGTTGCTTACAAGTCCAAGTCATAAACGAAAGGAACGTCAGGAACGCCAAAGTCAAAAACGGAGGTAGCGCGCAACCATTTCGGGGCTTCCGGCAGCGTTTTCGCGCGCTCCCCTTGCTTCCCAAGGGCGCGAAAACGCTGCGCCCCGGCCCCTTTCGGCTGTTCCGGCGGCCATTTTTTACCCGCCGAACAGCTGATGGCAGCCATTTTGGCGCCCTCGTTCTGCGAGGGGAGGGCGCGAAAATGGCTGCCGCCTATGGAGGAACTTCGCTGAACGGTGAGTTTGAAAGCCATAGGAACGCATTGAACAAAGTTCAATGCGTTTCTATGGCTTTTTCCCTCCCGCACAGCGATGTTTCCCACAGCGAAGTGGTGCTGTGCGGGGCACCACTGTATAATAAATAAAAAGCAATTCTAATCAGTGTTTATTTTTTTAAAACTATAGTGAAAAGAAATATTAATTTACTACACTTGAACATGCTAACATATGCACATACAATCTCAGAGCTGAAATGAAAGCTGCTAAATACTGGCTGGAATCCTGTTACATATTTACACCAGTGTAACTCAATCTGCATAAATCTTAGTGGCAACTGCCATTAGTCAAGTAGTTAAGAAGTGAGTATAGACATTTGCTGTTGCATGTTAGGTCCCTCAACTTGTTACACAATAGTAAATGCCTGTGCATTTACTATTGTACAACAAGTTGAGGGACCTAACATGCAACAGCAAATGTCTATACTCACTTCTTAACTTTATTATTCACCACTGAGATTAATGATATTGAGTTATGCTGGCAGGTGAAACTGATCAGGTTCTAGAAAATTAATTAAGTCTGCTTTTCTATGTGAAAACGTTTCACTGCATTAAAAGCCACATGTATTACAGTGGTGCCCCGCATAGCGACGATAATCCGTTCCAGGAAAATCGTCGTTATCCGGAATCGTCGCTATACGGAACGGAAAGCCCCACAGGAATGCAATAAACCCCGTTTAATGCGTTCCTATGGGGAAAAAACTCACCGCTATGTGGAAATCCTCCATAAAATCCTCCACCCAGCCGCCATATTCGCTGCCCGGTAAGCGAGGAAAGGGCATGAAAACGCTGTGGGCAGCCATTTTGGAACCGCCAATCAGCTGTTTTTTAAACATAGCAGTGCAAAAATCGGTAAGTGAAACACTTACCAATCATCATAATGCAATGTTTACCCATTAAAAACATCGCAATGCGATCGCAAAATCCACATCGCTATGCGGATTCGTTGTTAAACGGAGTGCTCGCTATGCGGGGCACCATTGTACATTATTACAGTGGACTACCTATTTGATCCAGATAAATACTAGTCAACACAGAGATCTCTCAAACTGTAGCACTCCCCACCCTCATCACAAATTGCTATTAAAACTACAGTGGTGCCTCACTTAACGGGTGCCCCGTTTAACGTCAAATCCGCATAGTGACGAAGATTTTGCAATCGCTTTTGCGGCTGCATTGCAATGTTTTAAATGGGTAAAAATCACTTTGCGATGATCGGTACGTTGTTTCGCTTACTGATTATCGCATAGCGATGTTTTTGTAACAGCTGATCGGCGGTTCCAAAATGGCCACCGGGTAAACAAAATGGCCACCCGCTGTGTTTTCGCGCCCATTCCTCGCTTACCAGGCAGCGAAAATGGCAGCTGTATGGAGGATTTTCGCTTAAATGTGAGTTTTAAGTCCATAGGAACGCATTAAATGGGTTTTAATGCATTCCTATGGGCTTTTTCTTTTTGCATAGCGACGAAATCACTTTGCAGCGATTTTTGCTGCACAGATTATCGTCGCTATGCGGGGCACCACTGCATATGAGATATCAGCTTCACAATCAGACAGGGAGCTTCCTTAGTAAGGAAAGGGTGTTGCGTTATTCTAGCATGAGATTTCTGCAGTTCTGCATACAGAAATCATTTTGCTTTTGTTTGATGACTGGTCAGTGAAAGATAATCACAGGAACTACTTGCAAGATGACTGCACAGACACAGCTGTTGCAAATAGATATCTGGAAGATCAATGTTTCATTACTTTTTAACCATAAAGCTGGCATCTTGTATAGTTTAATTCTGTAGTTTTAGCTAGCAATGTGGCCTGTATATTATCCTATTGCTAAAATCTATTAGTTTCTCCTATTACAGCTATTACAGATCAATCACTCTTTAGACAGCAATAGAATTACAAGACAGAAACTTACGTGAGAACCTGTTGTCTAATATTATTTCTTAGTTGGTTCTTATTTAAGTGAGGACTCCAAGTATGAGTTGCCAGATGGTTGGAGACAAAATTATCCACCCGCTGCCTTAGGTTCTGGTATGCAGGCTGAAAGGGAAAGTGAGAGATTTTATCTATCTAGCTATTCAAAATGTTTTTACCCTGCTTTTCTACTTTAAAAGGACCCAAGGTGGCTCACAGCATTAAGAGTATTTAAAACAACAACAGTGAATATACAAATACAAATACAAGATCAAACAAATAACATACTAAAAAACATAACCAGGACCAAAACACATTCAGAGCAGTAAGATACAACAATTCATTTAAAACCTCACTCAGGCAGCCAGGGAAAGCTTGCTTGAAGAGAAAGGCCTGCTTGAAGAAGGACAGTAAAGATGGGTGACAGCCTAGACTCCTGTGGGAGAAAGTTCCAAAGTTTGGGAGCAGCAAAGAGAAGCCAGTCTCTCTCTCTCCTTCTCTCTCTTCTGTACCAACCAAGCACACCTGTGAAAGTGCTGGGACCAACAGAAAGGCCTCTCCTCGAACAGACTCATAAAGGGAGGTGCAGTTCAAGCTGTTTAGGGCTTTATAGGTTAGAACCAGCACTTTAATATAGTGGTGCCACGAAAAATGCTGTCTTGCGAAAACATCGTCTTGCAAAACGCGGTTCCCCATTGGAATGCACTGAAATCTATTTAATGTGTTCCAATGGGGAAAAATCGTTGTCTTCCGAAAATCGTCCATAGAAAACATCGTCTTGCGAAGGCAATCATCATGCGAGGCACCACTGTATCTATATGAGGCCGCTGGGTAAGGTCATCCAGAGTTGTGGGGCCCGGTATCATCAGTACGCTGATGACACCCAGATCTACCTCTCCTTTTTTCCTACCTCAATGGATGCTATTCCGACCCTTGAACACTGCCTGGGGGCCGTTTCCATATTCGGAGGATTGCCCAGTTGTGTCCCTATCTAGATGTGGGGGCACTCACGATGCTGATTCAGGCCCTTGTAATCTCAAGAATAGACTACTACAGTGCTCTCTACATGGGGCTACCCTTGAGGCTGATGTGGAGACCTCAACTGGTCAAGAACTCGGCAGCCAGATTAATAACTGGGGTGAGGAAATTCCACCACATCTCCCCCACTTTGGCCGCCATTCATTGGCTACCGGTTCATTTCTGCATCAACTTCAAGGTTATGATGATAACATTCAAAGCCCTAAAATGGTTTAGGAACTCGGTACCTATCAGAACGCCTGCTCCCAGCCAGATCTGTCCGTAACACCCATTCTTCAGACAGGGCAGTTGAGGACCTTGATCCCGAAGGAGGCCCAGAGGGCAGTCGCCCCCCCCCCACCTACGGAACAACCTGCCTAATGAGATTCGCCTGGCACCCTTGCTGGATGGGTTCAAAAGAGCATTGAAGACCTGGCTCTTCCTCCAGGCTTTCCCAGAGCATTAAGATCTCAGCCTCCCTTTTACCATCCTTTTTACCATCCTCTCCATCACCCATTTTTACCATCTTCATTACCATCTGTTTTAATTTACCCTATTTGGTTATGTACAGTGGTGTCTTGACTGACAACCGTAATCTGTTCCGGAATGATGGTCATAACTCAAAATGGTCGTAAGTCGCAGCACCATTTACCATAGGAATGAATTGGAACGCGATTAATCTGTTCCGGCTGGGGAAAAAATTACAAAAACAAAACAAAACACTGCAAGCCCTATTGGAACGCGTCAGGGCCGGAAAAAAAAAATCACCAAACCCAAAAAAACCAACAATGCAAGCCCCATCGGAATGCAGTGGGGCCGGAAAAAAACCCACCAAAAAAAAATGCAAGCCCCATCGGAATGCACTGGGGCCAGAAAAAAATCACAAACAAACAAAACACAGCAAGCCTCATCAGAAGGCACTGGGGCAAAAAAAAAAAAAAACCACACACACACACACACCAAAAAATCATCACAGTACAGAAACATAACCCTCCCAGCCCAAACCCACCCTGCAAAACCCTGTAAATGTACTTACACAGAAGCAGAAAGCAGCACCAGGAAGTCGGAAGCCTATTCCGATGCACACTCTCTAACCGTTGGGGTGAAAGAGCTACAAAGAAGCAGCCTGTTCACCAACCAATAGTTAGTACATTTGAATTCCCTGCCTTTTTCACCATCTTTTTTTTCTGTCATAACTCAAAGCTCCAGTCGAAGCAGAAGCAAAATTTTGCAGCCGGAGCTGGTCGTTGCGAGAACACCGCCCATATCTCCAAGGAGACTTTTGGGCGGGTTCCGGAGAATGGGATGGATACGAAAGACAGACAAACCACAGTACTGCTGAGTAGAGCCCAGGGGATCTCAGCCGGGTCTTGTCTATTCCTTCTTCTCCAAAAGCCACACTCCTTTATTAAGCCAAAGAGCCAACACAGACATAACCATGAGATATACTCAGATTAATCTGGGCTCTAGAGATCTTTGGTAGCGAACATATAAGGCCAATTAATATTCCTCAGCTAGTCTGAACAAGAAACAATGCTTCTAGATAGAAATCAATCATTACTGTTTTATTAATAAAAGTTGTTAAAGTAAAAAAACCAAATGTTTAGTTGGTACATTTTAATACAAGGCTCAGATACTTCCTCCCCCACTCCAGCTAGAAAAATAAAGAAATGAAACTATGCTAACTAATATAAAGGGTAACATAGTCCATCTCACGTGTCCTGGGTTCACAAGTTGATGTAGATGCAATCCAGGTGTTTCCCCTCAGTCCATGGCAGAGGAAACTATTTGTAATCCATGATGGAACACCCTCCACTTTCCTTCTCCTCCGTCGCTTCTTCTTCCCAGAGTTCCCAAGAGCAAGAAACTTCTGGACAGGTCACGCCCCATATTTCCACGAGAGCTACAGAAATGCTTTGGCTACCAGGAATGTTTCTCCTTAGTAACTAGATAAGAGATAGCCGCTGTGGCTCATCTCAGAAACTACACAGAAATCCTAAATTAAAATGGATTCTATTGAGACAGGCTTACCCCTAAAAACACATCTCAACTCAAAATGGTTCTAAGTCAGGATGGTCGTAAGTCAAGACACCACTGTATTTTTTATCGTGTTTTAATACTGTTGCTGATATTGTTGTTAGCCACCCAGAGCGGCCTGGTTGCCAGATGGTGCGGGAAATAAATTCAATAAATAAATAAATTTGAACTCAGCCTAGAAATGGATCAGCAGCCAGTGGATCTCTTTTGAAGCTTCCTAGCAAGATGTCCTTAATGTTCACAACACTGGACACAAAGAATTTAAGACTCTCAAATTAAACCAGGAAATGAAAATGAAAAAGAAAAATATAAATGGGATAAAGCCTTCTCTAAAAAGAACAAAAGATAACTGCTTTTTAATTATTTTTCAATTCCTTATGACAGTCCTCAATTCTGAAGTGGGCATCTTAATTGTTTTACAATGCCCAGATTAACTCAAAACATACATTGTTATAGCCTCTTTCAATCAGTCGCTACTCGATATCCTGGCAAGATTTCAAACATAACGCTTGATAGTTATATTGTTAAAATTCTGATATATCATTATCTCAAAAAGCAAGAACTTTTTGACTAGGCAAACATAGTAAACTCTTCATGGCAAGGATATGCTTTTGGCTTCTGGATAGCTTTGCCTAGCCAATTTATATAAAGGATCCCAAGCCACATTCTAAATTAACAAAATATGCAAATACATGTGACAATGAAATATGGAAAATAAAGCTATAAAGTGGCAAAAACAAACAAAAATCAAATTTAAAATAGAAGATTTCTTCAAACAATGAAAACACCTTATAATTTGATTATGAACAAAGAAAACCTTTGAATCTGAAAGGCTACCTAACTGGTGTTAAATCTGAAGTCTTATAAGATATTAAAGGTTAAGAGAAGAACTCTGAATTGAGTTCAGGAACTTACTAGGGGGCAACAGAGTTATTTCACTACAGTCAAGTGAAATAACTCTTTTCCCAGCAGTCTAATCACAATATTACAGACTAGCTACAGTTTCCAAACCTTTTTCAAAGGCAGTCCAACATAAAGAGTAGTATAATACTGGTTGAAATCCGATTACTCAGCACAGAAAACTGCAACTAGAATGAGGATTTGGTCAGTAAATTCCTCCATAAGTTCTACTAATATAATGGTCATACTCTACTTCTGACTTGCTAAGCTAAGGAACAGGATTTTAGCCACTGTAACCTACAAGTATACATTATACAGTCGTGCCTCGCATAACAAGCGCACCGTTTAACGACGAATCCGCATAGCGATCTATTTTTTCAGATCGCTAATGCGATCGCATTGCAATGTTTAAATGGGTAAAACATTGCATTGCGATGATCGGTAAGCGTTTCACTTACCGATCTTCGCATTGCAATGTTTTTTCAATAGCTGATCGGCGGTTCCAAAATGGCCGCCGAGTGCCCAAAATGGCCGCCACAAGTGTTTTCGCGCCCTGCCCTCGCTTCCCGAGGGTGCGAAAATGGCGGCGCTATGGAGGAACTTCACTGAACGGTGAGTTTGGGCCCCATAGGAACGCATGAAACGAAGTTTCATGTGTTCCCGTTTAGCGATGTTTCCTCATAGCGACGATTAATCCGGAACGAATTAATATCGCTATGTGGGGCACCACTGTATATTATACATTATACATTACCTAATGTATGTAATGTACATAATGTACATTATGTAATGTATATAGATTATTACTGTGGCTATACTATCTCAAGTCCAGGAAAGATTGCAGTCAGCATATCAACATAACAAGTCCAACATGCTACAAAGACTACTTGGCCTCAAGACGTAAATATTTATTTAATTAAATAGCTCTTTCAGATGGTGCACCTGATCTTTTAGAAGTTGGTTTAACATTTCCTAGGGTAGAAAAAAATACCCTCAGCAGCTCTTCTGTCAGAATGAAATGTCAATTCTCTTTGTCCAGTCTACTGTTTTCAATAATTTATAATGCTTCACCTGCTTCAGGCTGAAGAAGGAATATAGTTGGGTATCATTAATAACAACACTTAATTTCAAATTGACAATTATAGGCTTCCCATAAATGTTGAACTATATTTATTTGAAATAATTTTAACCGACCTTTCAGAGTATGTTGCCCTCACAAGGTCACAAGACCACAAAAACATGAACATACAATCACAATTAAACCACACATAAACAGCAAAAAAGCATCAAATATGACTAGAATAAATACATCCACAGCTTTTATTTTTTAAAAAACTCTAGCAGCTATATAGTCAGATGTACCTGTCTAGAGAGTTCTAAAAGTGTGAGACAACCATCAAAAAGGCCCATTCCTAGTAGCTCCCAGCCTAATGACTCTCACTAATGGGCCTCAAAATGGA